GGGGGGGTCTCTTTCGCTCGCCCGAGTGCAACAACCCGTATCCCAGTAAAACAAAATTTTACAGGAGAAGGAAAAAACTTTGTCAGTTCATCTAACAATGTTTGTTCAAATTGATCGCTTTTAAGGACAAGCGGGCTAACTCAGATTTCGAAGGTTGCCAGAAATCTTGACCTACACCAAAAATGGGCATTTCTCTACCTATAGGATAAGTTTGGTTTTATTAGTGTGTATATTTGTTTGGTTATAGATGAAGCTCTCCTTGTCTTTTAAAGAAACTGAACAAAGGGCTAAAACTGTAACTTCGATTTTCTCAGAACGGAACTTTTTGGGATAGCCTCCTTGAGCTCAAAAACGACCAATTAAAGTCTGAATGTTGCACTGGCGATGTTTATTGAGCTACATGTCTCTGCATTTGATACAAAATCAGCAACGTTACATTTAGTAGAAAAAGCAACAACAAAAAGGTGTTATTTGACATAGTGTGGGTTACAGGGTTGTGGTATTCAGGAGACGAACGCCATTGTCCATGATTAATTTAGTGATCATTATTGTTTACTGTGTCACAAACCGGACATACGATCTCCCCCCCCCCCCCTCCTCCCCCCTGGGGCAGTGCTACTGGCTTACGTGTCTCTGTTCCAAAGGGGGGGGGGAGGGGCGTTAACATGTTCTTATGCTCAGTAGAATTATAAATGGGCTGATTCATCAATGTCATGCTCGTAACTGTGCCTGAACTGCAACAGGGAACTCATGCCCTTTCTTTCCTCATGCTTACTATCTTCATTATCCCTCTACTTCTTTTGTATGTTTGTCACTCTCTTGTGACCCGTTATTTCCGGGGTGCCTTGATAGTCGAAGCAGACTTTGTGCTGTCGAAGCTAGAGAGGTGAGCAGAGTAAGCCTGATTCTCTGTAAGGATATCTCTGTTGACATCTACCCGTTGGCGCTCATATGACCATATGCGGTTGCGAGCGCCGCAAAACCTTATAAAAACAAACAGACCTCTCACGACGACTGTACAGTGCATTAGATTTCACACAGAAATGTGTTTTACATGGATATTTAAGGCGTTGAACCCAAAAACAAAAATGGGATTAAAATTGCAAAAATGGCAGAAAAAATGTCCGTTTCTTCACTTTCATTATTTTGACGAGCGCTTGATTTCACCACGATACCTCACATTTGTTCTGCAACGGCATCTGTGGTCCTGTGGTTAGGTGCATTGCCGTCACATGCTGAAGGCCCCAGTTCGATTCCCCAGTGAGGAGAATAGGTCGTTTTTAAGCACAAGGGGGCTGCACCGAGAAATACTATTTTGATAAAATCGAAGTTAAAGTTTGTGCATCCTTGTTCAGTTTCTTTAAAAGACAAGGAGAGTTTTGTCTATAACCAAACAAATATACACACCAATGAAACCAAACTTCTCCTATAGGTAGGACTATGCCCACTGTTGGTGTAGGTCAAGATTTCTGGAAACCCCCGACATCTGGCTTAGCCCACTTGTCCTTAAAAGCGACCAATTTTTATCGAGTACAATATCGGTCTTTCTGATAGGATGTTGTATCCCTTTCAGTCCGGGTTAGCTCTGATAGGCAGGGTCGAAACCCGCCTCCTAAAAGATCTAATGTGTGTTGATAGAGGCGTAAAAATACACATATGAAAAAGAACTTAAATAAGTTGTTTCTGTCTCGGTACAATGCTGTGGCACAAAATGACACGTACTATCAAGTCGAAGTATTTCACCTTACTCAAGCTAAACAAGAATGCCAGACCTAACTCATTTTATAGATTATACACACACGCGCGCACACACACACACACACACGCGCGCGCACGCGCGCGCGCGTGCGCACACAGACACACAGACACACAGACACACAGACACACAGACACACAGACACACAGACACACACTCACACACACAGACACACACACAAACACACACAAACATATATATTTATTATATCATATTATATCATCTCATATTATATTATATTATATTATATTATATTATATTATATTATATTATATTATATTATATTATATTATATTATATTATATTATATTATATTATATTATATTATACTATATTGTGTTAAAATGGTGTGCATAATATGCAGATTGAAAAAAATAAAAACTGTTTGTGATGGTGATAAAAACAAACAAAACAAATGAAACAACTTTTAACAGCAAGCTGAATTCATGCAAACGTCCAAACGTCAGAGCCTATAGCTGCAATGTAAATGAGCTGTTTGCCTAACATGATTGTACATGCAAATGAGAGCTGTTCTTACAAAAACACAAGGTTCGGACGCTCTGAAAGGTCAATGACTCCGAAACTAATTAACTCTTCTTGAAAAAGAATAAGAGTTTAAACACAATGCACGCTGCGCGCGCGCGCGCACACACACACATACACACACACACACACACACACACACTATCTATCTATCTATCTATCTATCTATCTATCTATCTATCTATCTATCTATCTATCTGTCTGTCTATCAATCTATCTACGAGTATGTGTGTGTGTGTCTGTGTTTGTGTGAGTGTGTGTTTGTGTTTGTGTTTGTGTATGTGTGTGTGTATGTTCGTATGTGTGAGTATGTGAGTGTATGTTTGAACATATATACCGTCATGTAGCGGTTAGGCGCTTCGTGTGACTTACTCTGGAGGAATTATCGCTCCCCCCCTCTCCCCTCCCCTCACCCCACCCCAAACCCCTTACGTGCCCCGACAACTGGAGAGCAATCGTCAGTCGTTTTGAGGTCGCGTCATCACGCCTTCCTTTTTTTTACTCGAATTTCAAAACGGTGGATAGCAACACACCACCACAGGTTACAGCAACACCCCCTCCCCTCCCTAAAAAAAACAACGAAAAAAACCCGTTGAAATTTAATATATATTTTTGTTGCTGAATTGCAGAGTTTGTCCGAGCACACGACGAGTTTGCCCTGCGACTAGAAACGGCCCATCACAGTGCTGCTGACTTAGATCTAAATGTCTTTAGGCCATTCCCAGAGAAGGGATATTCACATGTTTTTATGCACAGTAGAATTGTAAATGGGCTGATTTATCAATGTCATTCTCATAACTGTGCCGGAACAGCTTAGGGGGAACTGCTGCTTTTTCTTTCCTCATCCTTGCTGTTTTTAATTTTTCCTCTACTTCTTGTGTATGTTTGTCACTATCTTGTAACCCGCTATTTCCGGGATGCCTTGATATTCGAAGCAGACTTTGTACTGCTGAGGCTAAAGAGATGAGCAGAGTAAGTCTGATTCCCCGTTTGGAGTTCGGTGTTGACCTCCACCCTTTGGCGCTCATATGACCTTATGCCGTTGCGAGCTCCGTAAAACCTTATTAAAAACTAAAACCCCCCAACTAAAAATCATGTTTTGTTGTGACTACTGATGAGAAAAGGAACGTCTTGTTAGACCATTTCAGTAGCCTAAGTAGCAAGCACCATCAATACACCATACTTGCGTCTCTCACACCATTGGACAAAACCAACATTAAAAAACAAACAAAAAAAACAACCAAAACCAAAAACCAAACAAACAAACAACAACAACAAAAAACAACAGACGTCCTTGCAAGACTGGACATGAAGCGAAACTCCACAATTATAAAACACCTATATCAACTTTAGCTCCATGACAGTGTATAAAGGGTTGAAGCTGCTGTAACAATCCCCATCTGCTTTCATGTGTTTCTACCAATGCTTGTCATCCCCAGAGCATAACATCTGGCTCGTTTAACATAACATAAATCGAAAACACTCTCCGTACCTTACTTTATTAAAAGCTTAGGAATAATGAATGAATCATACATAAAGACCTTTTAGCGTTTTAACGTTTCTCTATTAACATTGTGATGCTAAGCTGAATATGACATTTTTTGTTCCGCTGTTAGTAACTAACCCGAGTTGCATTTCTAAAACTTTGGATCTAATCATTTTTGTCATCAGTTTTCTCAGTGATACGTTTTAGTTTCATTTTGTGATTCATAAGACTAACTGATTCGTTGATGGTCGAAGCAGACTTTGTGCTGTTGAGGCAAGAGAGGCGAGCAGAGTAAGTCTGATTCCCCGTTTGGACTTCTCTGTTGACACTCAGCCCTAGGCACTCATATGATCTTATTATGCAGTTGCGGGCGCCGTAAAACCTTACTAAAACTAAACTGAGTGATTTTTGGCATTACCAGTCTGTGATTCTATGGGTTTTTGTGTAACTTGTGGGATGTGCATGTGACGTCTCAGGGAATATTTCCAGTTCATAGAAGGTCAGAAGGTTGGTCAGTTTTTCCACGTCTAATTCACCAAGTGTTTCATTTGCTTTAACAAGAGACCCTGGTTCTTCTTCTTCTTCTTCTTCTTCTTCTTCTTCTTCTTCTTCATCTTCTTCTATCCCGTGGTTGGGGCACCCGTGGGGGCACCACTGCTTCTGGAAACCAGCTCTCGCCATTTCTCTCTGTCCTCTGCTTTCTTCAGATTGTCACCCATCGTCCTTCCTGTCCACTCTATGATGTTGTCCTCCCATCTCCTTCTCTGCCTTCCTCTCTTTCTCTTTCCTTGTAGGATTGTTTTGGCAAGTCATGTGGATCTTGTGACATGCCCACATAATTTTCATTTTCGTCTCTTCACTGTGGTTAGTAGATCTTCACGCTGCCCAACTGCGTTTGTGATTCTGTTCCGTACGTCAGACCATGGTTAGAACAAAGCAGTTCAGAACTCACCCAGACAAGTTGTTGAACAGTCGTTTTTCTTTCTTTTTTAAACATATGTGAGGCAGCATGGTGGAATCAGGCTCTCGTCAAAATAATCAAAGTGAAGAAACTTGCATTTTTCTGCAGGTTTGTGAATTTTTATCAAATTTTTGTTTTTTGGCTCAACCCCTTTCATGCCCATTAAAGAACTCATTTCTGTGTGGATTTTTCTGAAAAACGTTGATTAAAGACACAGAAAAAGTAAATTTTAAGTTACCACGGACTCTTAAGCTAAGGAAATAATTAACCATTAGCGGCCAGTTTGTCACTAATTTTACCTCTGAAAACTGGTGACCCCCATCTCCTTCTTTCGCAAATATCTCGACTTGTATTTAAGGTAAATGGATATTTTTTTCATCCAAATAAAGACAAGTGAACAAGCTTTAAGATGATACCAATACCTCTACATGCCCAAAAATTGACGAGAGCCTGATTCCACCACGCTGCCTCACATATGTCAAACAGCAAGGAGTCGGTGGTTGGCAGGTGCTCTGGTGTGGCTTGCTTCTTCCTTCGTATCAAACATCTACTGTCCTTATCTCCCCTCCTTTTTGTGTTCGTTACTCTCTCTCTCTCTCTCTCTCTCTCTCTCTCTCTCTCTCTCTCTCTCTCCCCTCTCTCACTCTCTCTCTCTTTCTCTCTCTCTCTCTCTCTCTCTCTCTCTCTCTCTCTCTCTCTCTCTCTCTCTCGTAACACATCAAATATTTAGCACTTATATGACCTTGTTGTTTTGCAAGTGCCGTATGTAAAACTCTTCCAAAACCAAAACAAAACAAACGAAACAAACTACAAGAAATGGACAGAAAGGGTTAAGACGACCTGCAGCGGGTCATTCATTAATTCCCACCTCTCTGTACTGGCGGACGAAAAAGTTGTCTATGTCGAATTCACGTCATTCACTTCAAGGCTGACGGTATCGGTTAATTTTCTGGCTGAGTTTTCTATGACCGTGAATAATCCCAATCTTAGTTTTCTGATTAACCCTATCCGTACGTCGTGTTTTACTATCGTATCTATACGACGTGTGGAACTCTGTGCCACTGTTTAACCCTATCCGTACGTTGTGTTTTACAATCGTATCCATACGACCTGGGGAACTTTGAGCCACAACTTAACCCTATCCGTACGTCGTGTTTCACTATCGTATCCATACGATCTGGGGAACTCTGTGCCATCATTACAAAGAGGAAATTTACTCGTTAATCCGATCCGTACGCTATGCATAGTAGTCTGTCAAAATGGTTTTCTGAGAAATACTCAAAGTTTCAAAGAGATTTTCGAACATGAAGTATTCTAAAATGTGAAGAATACAACCCTGGGAGTACAAAATGACCCTAGGACGTACGGATAGGGTTAAGGCAATGCGTAAATATTACTATATTAAGGTCAGTCGCGTTGTCTTCTGTCCCAGAGTGCCAAAGGGTGGGAAAAGCAAGCCTCGTTCCTTCACGTTGTGGATTCTTCAGGTTTTGGTAACAGAATAATTGATCCGAAAAGGGAATTGATTAAAGTAAAGGTACGTTGACAAATATACTTCTTCTTCTTCTTCTTCTTCTTCTTCTTCTTCTTCTTCTCCTTCTTCTTCTTCTTCTTCTTCTTCTTCTTCTTCTTCTTCTTCTTCTTCTTCT